ATAGTTAAAATGGTTAAATACCAATATTATATTTGAATATTTAAATGCCTGGTTACTCTTATAAAGAATTTTTTCCATTATTAGTTTAGTGTCTGAATTTAGTACTAACTTTAAATTTCTAAACAGGCTCAGTCTCCTGATACAGGTATCAGGCTTAAAGCCGAAAAAATTAATAACAGCGAGTGTATCCAATTGCGTACCCTGGTGGGTCAGCAGTAAACTTAATGATTTAAATAATTTAATGATTTTAAACTTAAAATCCGGGAGTTCCTTTCATCGCAGTAGCCAAAGCCCAGATAACCTATTGTGAAACTTTGTGTTAAAAAAAAAACAATATATCCAACTGCTGTCTAACGAACTGTCCTGTCTATACATTAGTACTTTAACTCATCATTTGATTATTAATTCTAATTATTATATCTCTGAGACAAAACTGTAGTGACTGATACTAAATTGTTGATATTTAAACAGTGGACCTTGATAGCTATTATTAAACGTTAGTCAGATAAAATACAAGAAAATCGACGTTCTAAGCAGAGATAAAACAGGTCATGTGACTATTACTGTTAATAAAAATTACTTATTCTGACACACAAATGAAGATTAATGAATAATTATACGCAGGTTAACTACACCTTATTTCACGTGACATTCTAAGAACCTTCACATACTCCCAGCGTGGTTAAACGTCAACAACTTATCAACGGCCAAGAATCTTTTCCGTAGTGGTTGTGAATTCTAGCAACTTCAGCTGACCTCCTGCCGAGTATTTCAGGTTTTTCTGGAATACCTATAGCTAGTGTTATTGTGTTGTTTCTTTACACTGAAGTGATGAGAAAAATCTTGCAGAAACCACAGAACCAAGGGTTTATTTTTTTAGAATATTTGATCAAAGGTACACAAATAGTCATGAGTGGCCAGCAAAAATATTTTCGGGGGGGGGGGGCAAAGTATGTATGTAGGGGATCAGCTTTTACAGTATAAGTCAACAGACTAAAATAATATATATTGTGTGTCCTTAAACGCAAACACAAATTTACAGTTTTAATAAAAATTCCTAAAAATAGTTAGTTTAACTACGATGTTAAGTTTACATCATAATACATGTAGTTTTGTGTGGGCACCCACGCAAATAGTTATCTGCGTATAGCTGCCCCTTATTTTTAACTTTAAAACAAGAGGGAAGGCAGCAGTCCACAGTATCCACTGCAAATTTTCGGTTACACTTATCTGACAAAATAGTGGGCCCGGCATGGCCATGTGATTAGAGAACTTGACTCGCAATCTGAAGGTCGCGGGTTTGAATTTCCGTCCCACCAAACATGCTCGCCCTTTCAGCCGTGGGGGCGTTATAATGTGACGGCCAATCCCACTGTTCGTTGGTAAAAAAGTAGCCGAAGAGTTGGCGGTGGGTGGCTAGCACAGATAGCCATCAGGTAGCTTTGCGCGAAATTCAAAACAAACCAAACCAAACTGACAAAATAGTGAGATTTGACTGTCAATACTATAGCACACCCTTGGCCCTAAGGTGCGGTGCGCGTTGTAGCGGGAACAGAGTCCGAACTCAGAACCTTTGAATTCATATTACGGGCACGCTAATATCTAGATCACGCCCTTGCCACTTCTTAGTTTAAAATTACTTTATGATATCTACAACTAAATTCAACTTTTGAAAATGCGTATTTTACAAATATCATATATTTATATACAAAATATTTTGAATAATCATTCATGTCAACTTGGTACATTTTTGTTGAAACTACGATCAATCTGCAGTCCAAGGTTGGCCAACAAATTCCGAGAGTATCTCTATATCCGATGGAATTTCCTGGAAGGAAACGCTTCAGTATTGCTGATGGCTAAGCAAGGACGTCTGAGACAAATCAGTAAAAATTATGGTTACTTCTTTCGTCGAGAAGTATATGTGTAGCATATAAATGGAGTCTGATGGTATCTGAATAGCTTAACATGCAGTTTTAAACAGCATCCCAAGTGTCTGCTTCTCACTCTATAATTTATTTATTTATTTAGCGTTCTGAGTTTTTAATTTTCTCACACTTTATTCACGACTTTTCACACATTGAGATTCCGCGTTTTCTTCTGAAAAGTTCAACTTCCTGTTTGCGGCATCTTTTTCACGCTTTTTGCGCAACAGTAATCCACTTGTATAAAGAAATCAGAAAAAAAAAGTATTGCATTCTTCTTTCGGACGTTCTTGTACTGGTTCACACACTTTATTTTATTTGTCACGATGACTGGGTACTTCCAAGAGCACGAGGTAATATTGTAAACACACACACACCTTGTTAGTTGCAATCTTATGATTACAGATAATTACGTTGGTTTGGGGGTGTAGGAGGTATAAAATTACCGAGTCGTTAAAACCAGCAACTTTATTCAAGAATTGCAAAAAGAAAACAAAAAGAAATACTTTATCCGGTGCCAAGTTATTTCCTGCATACTGCTGGAAAGAATATGTCAGTATCTTGAAGAAATAAATAGTTCGTCCCGGAAATCGCCTAACCACTGGACGGTTTCCAGTTCGGAACAAATGACACAGCCGAATGTTAAATACATAATGACATAGATTTACGCTCTGTTCAGAAACCTAAATGGAAGATGGTTCAAACAGTCCGTACCTATCAAGTTATGTATAGAATACAAATACCATTATAAGTAACAGTGACTTAACTTACATAGTCACAAAAATCAAAGTAACGCATCTTCGGGAAGCAGTTAGTTTTCTCGTACATACGTGTAAATATTGTTCGTATCGTAGTTGTTTCTTCTGAGAGCCTTGAGTCAGCTGGTAACTACTGTAGGATTCGAAATTTGTTTTTAAAAAATACACGATTACTGTAAGTTTCATTACATAAAACGTAGACGAATAGACTTGTTTTTATTTAAGAAACATAAATCGAACAACAAGAGGTTTTTTGTTTGTTTTTTACTGGTAAAAAAAGACATTTTTCAAAGGAATCACACAAATTAACACTGGTACCTCTACGTTGTGCTGAGTAACAGGTAGAATATTAGGTATGAAATTATCTAACCATCAATACTGACAGTGTGCATCCAAACTTTGAGTTATGTTTTCTCTTTGTTTGCTCCACGATAATTTGGTTAAATATATATATATATATCCGATTCATGAAATCTCTGGCGAGGAAAGAATCCAGGGAAAAAGAACTAGACACATGATATTAAACTAAGGTACTGGGG